ATCTGCTACCTGAAAGACAAAGAAAACACTAGTTTATTAAATACAACCATTTCATTAAATCAAATATTTCATTTTACAGTTCATAAAATATATTATTATTTAGAAATGTAGACATAACTCAAGCCCATCCAAGTGTTTGTTATTAATATTTATTTGTTGTCCATGTGTGTGGCTTAGGTGTTGTGAGTTGGTAAATCCCAGTTCAGTCCCAGGCTGTAGGCAGTTTGACAGCAGACAGCCTTGTGTTAGGTTCAACAGTGGTATCGAGAAAGCAATGGCAAACTACTAAACATAAAATTGATCAATGAATTTCATAACCGGACAAAAAAATTATGGGGTTGGTCCTGCAACACCCTGCAAAGATTACATAAATAACTATCATGTTTATAATTGCCTTTAGAGAGGTCAATCAAGCATGGTGGGGAAAAAAAGATGACTTTTAAGAGAGGCAGGGGAAGACCAAAGAAGAAAGGCAGTGGGAAATCAGGAAAGGATTTAGGACAGTTAAGCATTAGGCTAGATGAACATCTGAATTGTTACTTTTGAAGAAGGAAAAACAAAGTCAGCTGTGTATATCTTTTACTGGAAACTGCAAACCAACCCCAGCATTTGGCGGACGTTTGTGGTTTCACAAGGCATTCAGTAGTTCCGTGCCCGCTGACATAGGCGTTCATGCATCTTCACAGATCTCGATCTTTAGTGTTCTGGATCAATTCCAGTGATGATATTCCTCCACACCACTGCCTTAAGACATCCCCTATCATTTCTCTTGGTCTGCCTCTGCCTCTTCTACCAGTTAAATTTCCAGTCGTCGCTAGATTTTCCAGTGCTCCATACCACCGTCAAAATCAATGTAAAGCGGTCTGATGCCAAATCGCCTCTGAATCAAACTGAATACTTCAACAGAGATTTTGAAACATGGGTATGGCTGTTAACAAATATGATGTTCAATGATACATGACATGGGTAACATAACTGACGGTACACAAGACAGACATAAGAACAAACAACTGTGGATTGGACTAAACAAAAGTTTCAGTCCAATCATGAGAACATATGGAAAATAAACTCAGGTACAGAATATCATAAATATATATATTTATTAACAAGCTTTCTTTACGGCTTCTTCTTCTTCCCTTTATCTCCAAATGGAGCACAGAATCTCAAACAATTCAATCAAAATGTCCTATTCTTTGCCACCCCATGCAGCTTACACCACAGTTTGCAATTTCTTTCACTCTCATCTCAAGACCTCGTCTGTCTGTTTTCTTTTAACCCTGTGGGTTCAGTGTCTTTATAGTTATTCTTCTTTCTGCATTCACTGACTGACAACTCCAGCAGACAATCCTGGTTGTTCACCAAAACTGTAATCTTGTTTCAGGATTTGAGTCTTGCATGCACAAATGTTTTACAGATCTGGTTTACTACTGCGAAGGCTACTGGTTCCTCGACTCTTAGGCAGATGTACTCCAACTTTAATGAATAAAAAATACTTTTTATTTTATTGAGGCTGGCCAGGCTCTACTTTGGAACCTATTTATATGAGGACGGTGTATAAGTGTAAACAGATCCTGACTAGGATGAACCCTGTAGTTCAGCAGTTTTGCATGCATCCCTGTTCACAGCTGGTTTTTGTGACTACAGTACTGTGGCTACTACTCCAAGCCCAACCCTAACTCACCTCTTAATACAATACTTCGTAAGGTGCAGTGCTACAAATCTCTGCTTCTTCTTCGCGTTCGGCAGCTGTAAACTTCGGTGGAAAGTTTTTAACTGTTCAACTACCTCTGGACTTTACAGACTTGTTCCAGAACCTGAGTGTTGTGTGAACATCTATTCTTGTTTACCCTACAATGGGACCCTGTAACCCACACAGAGATCATGCTTCTTCCAAGGCCTTATTATCTTTTCACAGGAATGTCCTAAAAACAAAAACTTATTGCGTGTCCTTTATAGGACATTGCAGAACCAAATAGCATTATTTTGGCTGTTTGTGATTTTACTAGGGACACTGTTGAAACAAACACAAGGCGACGGCTGCCAGCAGCTGGGATCGAACCTAGCAACTCAGCATAACAAAGCAAGTTTTAAACGGCTACGCCAGAGATGCCAATACGTGTCTCTTAACAGGCCAAAAATGTACACCCCAGCAGTCAAAGAATTTCAGTTATCAATTAACCTTCAATGGTGTGGCTCAGAAGTTAGTGAACTGGTTTCACATTGCAATCCTCAAAGTTTACCAGGGCTTAATTCCCATGACAGGTGGGTTAAAAAAAGACTATTTTGTCGCTTTCAGAAAGTAGAGTCACACTGTGAAAACGATTGGAGCGTCACCACATAAAACTGTCCTAGTCTGCAGTGGATGCACTGCAGCAGATTTTTTTTTAAAGTCAAAATGAAAACATCACAAAAGGGTCCCTTACCTCTTGGAGACTCTTCCAAAGGCCGTTTGCTGTAAGCGTAGTATGGTGGACATGTGGTTTTTCCACCAGCCACAACATCAGAGGACAGAGAGCTAGGCAACAAACCCTGCAATGAGAGAATCAATTAATTAACCTATACAATCAAGACAACAATTAACCCTTTCACACCAAGAGGTCTAAATCTAGTCATATCTATGCCCATCCTGGTAAATGCCAACATATCCCCATGTCTGTAGGTTCTAGAAAAGCGCAGTTAATTAAACTGGTCAAAGTACGTGCCTGCGAAGAATTTAATAGGCCAGGTTATGAATATAGTAACTAAAATTAGGATTTCGGTATTTTCCCTTATGACTCCATTGGCATTTTTAAAAGCCATGTTAATGCTATATTTTCCCATAAGCCTCAATGATGGAGGTCATGAGTGTTAATTGTATGTTTATACATATTTCAAAACAAATTCACAAATGTAGTAAATACATTTGTAAAATAATTATTGGTGACCTCTGTAATATGATTATTTTTTTGTTAAAAGTATTTTTTCAAACAATTATGATAGATTCATGATCTTTCTCACAGGGTGAGATGGCTAAGTACAAATGAAGAGACAATCCTTTTGTTTGTCTGAAGCATACAGTATGCAAGAGTTTCCGATACTACAAATTGGTAAAATGAATTAAGTATAATCTTGCTAACACAAATTAAAAGGGATAAAAAATCAAGAGTCCATGTTAAAGGAAGTGTGCTAACCAGAGACTAAAAGATGTATTATGGATAATACTTTTCCTATGTGGGTTCCAGGGCCTTGTTTGGGGAAAGGATATAAACCCTCTGTGCAGTTCACAGGGTCTTTTCTTCAAAGACCTGAAAGCAAGGAAACCAAAAGCCTGCATAAAAAGAAGCCACAAAACTCAAATTCCTGAACAAACCTTAAGTACAGCAGTGGATAAACAACGAGAACTTTTTGCCTGAGTTTACAGCCAGTGAATGTGAAGAAGAAGAAAGAATAATACATTTTTGCCGGGACTAAGTGTTTGTCTTAAACAAGTTCATGCTAACAATATTTTACTATATGTGTAAAACTACCATAAATCCTCTACAGTGTACAGCCACTGCTAAAAAGCTTGCAACTAGTAAAATCACACTACCATAATTATGACAAACAGTAAAATTATACTGTTATACATTTCAAACAGCAAAATTACTCTGCCATAAATATTATAAACAGTTAAATTACACCGCAATAAATATTATAAATAGTAAAATTGCACTGCCCTAAATGTAACAAACAGTAAAATTGCACTTCTATAAATGTTACAAAAAAAGTAAAACTGCACTGTTTAAATCATATGATGATAATCTCTTGCCAAACATTATGTCATATCCTGTTTCTATATGTATCTTTATTAATTTGTTTTAGCTTATTAATACTACCATAATTTCTAATCCTGTCTGGCCTACCTGAGGGTGCAGGACATCTCTATATCCAGGTCCCGAGTACAGGTCGCCTCCTTTGTCTGAAATGTTGGAATTCACAGATATATAAACTACAAAGAAGTGAGCATGAGAATTTCAGCCAGGCCTTGGTCAGATGTAACTGAGCAGTATGAGAGTATCTAGTACCACCTGTTCTCTGTTAATGTGGAATGTTGGGGAGCATATACCAAGCCTGACATCTCTTACTGTGCCAATGGCTTCTGGTGGAGCAGCAAAACGAGGCAGGATATTAGTCTTATTGTGGATGACATGACAGGACAGACTAGGTATTCAGCCTTTGCTGGCAGCTGGTCTGGGAGGGACACACACACACAGGCCGACAGATAAAGCACTGATCTTCTGATCCGGCAGATTTTGCAGTATGCTTTGCTTCAAATGTATAGGTGTTACCTTGCAGTATGCTTTGCTTCAACATGTATAGGTGTTACCCTTCCAGAAAGAAAGAAAGACAGAAAGAAAGAAAGAAAGAAAGAAAGAAAGAAAGAAAGAAAGAAAGAAAGAAAGAAAGAAAGAAAGAAAGAAAGAAAGAAAGAAAGAAAGAAAGAAAGAAAGAAAGAAAGAAAGAAAGAAAGAAAGAAAGAAAGAAAGAAAGAAAAAGAAAGAGATCATGCTGCATGGACAACACAATCTTCCCCAGGGTTGTGTTGTGAAGAGAAATAACATCATCCCTGGTCCCTGGTGGTCTTGGATTTCCATGCCTCACAATATAATACTATTGTAAAAAAAGACAGAAAGGTGCCAATTAAAAGATCATTCAAGGGGAGTATTCATGAAATATCTTAAACAAATGCAAGCAGCAGGTTCAGTAATGTAAAAAATCTTTTGACAGCCAGTGAGTGAGAAAAAGTCCTTATACAGAGCACAGGCAACGTGAAATGAAAGGGGGAGCAAGAGAAGTAACTAAATATTTAGAGAGAAAACAAAAGACTGAAAACAAGCATAAAAAGGAGGAGGGAAGCAGGCAGGGGGAAAGCAGGCAGAAGAAACGCAGCACCAGGAAACATGAGGAAGAAAACAAACACGCACAGAGAAAACAGGAGAAGAAATGGAGGATGAAGTGAAGAAAGAGGAGGACGCAAAGACAGAGGAGCAGGTAAGGAAAAAGGAGAAGCATCCACATACCTTCTGCACCACTAGGACCTAGAAAATGCTCAATATGTTCAGCGCCAGTGCCATTGTACTGTCCATTATGGTCATCATACTGTGGAATGACCAGGATAACAATTACTGAATGAAAACTTGCTGGATTGAGTCTCTCTCTCTTTCTCTCTCACCCCCTCCCTCCCTTTCTCTCCAGAGAGAATTAGAGAGAAGAGAGAAAATACTGGAGAGAGAGAGAGACTGGACAGAGAAACAGACAGTCTGTGTGTAGATAAAGTGAAAAAGAGTGGGTCTGGAGAAAGAGTGTGGAGAGAGAAAGAGGGTGTGTGTGAAGAAACAGACAGAGAGAAAACACAAGTATTGTGTGTGTGCAGAAAGACAGGAGCGGACAGACAAAGAGACAAAGAAAGTGAGTGCAAAGGAGTTCTGACACACTAAACTCAATACCAAACCATAAAGTACCTGTAAACATCAAATTGAATTTATAGTAGAGGACAAACTGGTTAAAGAAAGAAAAATCAGTACTTATAATAATCAAAACACCCTTTATGTTCAAGATTAGTATTTTCAAAATGAAAATTCTTCTTGCATTCACTGGCTGTAAACTCTGGCAGAAAGTTTTGGTTGTTTATCCATTTCTGAACTTTGGTCTTGTTCAATAACTAAGTTTTGCATGCACATCCGTTTAATAGATCTGGCTTATCTGTAAGTAGCAGAAAGGTGGTTGCTCGCCTCTCAAGCAGATGAACTCCAACTATTAGGGAAACACTTCTAATTAGCTGACTTCCATGAAATACAGATGGGTGGGCGAGTGTGAGCGTGGGCAGAGAGGGGGCAATGGGTCTACCATACCCCACCCATCAATGTTTCTGACAGCTAACACAGGGGGAAACATGGCAACAGACGACAACAACAACTGTATAGTATAACAGTTAGTGACTTATGAGTTGACTGCACGTCCCTTACATCCTCACTGCAAACCAGTGTTGACTGTTTGTGGTTTTACCAATGGTTTTACACTGAGTCATTAGCCAATGCTGTTCTGAACAGAAACAAAGTCAAAGTGGTTTGCTGTCAAACAGACTGCAGAAGGGATTGAATAAATGTTAACTAGTGACTTACAGCAGATAATAAAGATGGGGATACCCAGATCCTAACAACAACATAGGGCAAGTGAAGGAACAGAATATTGTTTCTTATCTACTTCTTCATGTACACTTCATTAAAGTTCTGGTTATTTCGTCCACCTCTGGACTTTTTTCTTGTTACAGAACCTGAGTTGCATGCACATCCAATTTTACAGATCTGACATATTTGTCCAAAACATTATGTTAAGTCTATATCTTCTCCATTTGAGGACAGAAAAAATTCTACTGAGATGTCAACAAACCTCAAGTTGACTGCTGCTGTCTTTAAATATATTCAGGTTGATAACTAAAACGAGAAGGAAGATTAGTGAATAGAAGAAACACACAGAATAAACAAGAAAGGGAAAATAGTGGGAGAGGAAGGAAGAAAAAAAATGCAGGAGAAAGAAAGAGAAGCAGAACTATAGGAAAAAGAATAGGAGGAGGAGGAGAAAAGCATAAAACCTAAAGAGCAATAATAAAGAAATACTCACTCTACTGTCAAAGGCCGCAGACTGGCCACTGTTCCACTGACTGCCTTCTACCAGACCTGAAGTATTTAACATGTCAGGAATAAGCAAGTATAAGAGGGAAATATGAGTTACTGTATTTCAGCGGATACTTCTTCTTAGCTTTCACAGGGGTTGCGAACTTGAGTGGAAAAGTTATGGTGGTTGTCCACAACTGGACTCTGGTCTTGTTCCCCAACTGGACTCTGGTCTTGTTCCCTAACTGGACTCTGGTCTTGTTCCCCAACTGGACTCTGGTCTTGTTCCCCAACTGGACTCTGGTCTTGTTCCAGAACCTGAGTTGTGCATGTACATCCATTCGACAGATACGGCTAATTTAAATTCACACACATTGTATGTGCCTCGCCTCTCAAGAGGATGACATCCAACTCTCAAGGAAACACCCGTAATCAGTCGCCTTGATAGAAATGCTGGTTAAGAAGGCAGTTGAGTCTATTCTTATTTCCCCCAAAATGAGAGCCTAGAACCTACACAGGAGGAGCTGATAATCAAGAAGTTACCATATACAACAAAACTAGGACCAGAAAGCCCAACAATAGGAAACATGTGCAACTACTGCAACTGATTTTGTGCCCAGAGCATTCACAGCAGCAGCAGCAGCCATTTATCAGCCAGCTCAATGTTACCCCACACCCGAAAATGTCCTGGGCAGGAAATCCATGTTCTGTTAAAAAGAGAAATTAGGGATAAAAAGAGCTGTTCAAAAAGATGAAACAGAAGGAACAGCTGGGAGGAAAATCTTTTTCTTTTCCTCCCTCCTCCTTTTCTCTACTCCTGGAATGCCTTTCAGCACCAGGGCAGGAAGAGGTCTCTGGAACAGGCCTTCTTTTCACTTCGTATAGAGTACTTTTCAGTGTCTAATATTTCTGCAGTCCATATTCTGCGTGGTCAACCTCTAGCTCTGTTACCATTGTATCTGTATAACACTGCTTTCTATGGTACATCTTGTTACATGTCCAAACTATTTGATTTGTCTGCCTATAAAGTTCAGTATTGGTTTTGTGCCACCTCTCCTCCTGATATTATTGTTTCTAAGTCAATCTTTCCTTTGCTTTCCAAAGAATGAAAAAAGCCCTGGCACAATGGCTTTGTTTCTCCATTACAATGTGCAATGTCTTTAATGTCATCAATTGTTTTCTCCTGTTGCATTCTCATGCTTTCACTTAACACCTTGTTAAGTATTGGTAGTTGTGGATACATTTTTAAGAGGTGACCAAACCATTTGATCTTATGTTCATCAACGAATCAGGTGCAAAGTGTTATCGTGTTCCCACAGCCTGTCTGGTAGTATAATTTCCCACTCTGTCTCGGATGATTAAGCTGGCAGCTTACGTCCGAGAGATCAGGGACAGAAAAAAAAAATATGACAGTTGTGGAGCCTACAGCCATAGACTTCTGCAGGCTGTTGAATAAACACAGGTTCACCTATGAACTGCCAGTTCAAACATGTCTGTCACAACCTTGATGTCATGTCGTCTAACAATGTTACCAGTTACACTAGTGAAGTGTTGTCATTTCATCAGAAACAGAAAATGAAAACATTTCTGGCAACCATCAAGGGCAAAGGGCCAGCTAAAAGATCCCACCCCATCCTGACCTTCCCACACACATCCTGACTTCCTCCTTCCTTCTCTCACTCACTCTTGTCTCTCTTACTTCCTCCCTCTCTCGAAACTGGGTCCTTATTATTGTACTCTAACTCGCTCTTCCAAATTACTATACTCCCTCTTCGTCTCCAATCAATTGCTGTGTCCTCACTGTGCAACCTCTCATTTTCTTTCCTCCCTCTCTTAATTAACTTGCTTTGTCTTGAAAGGTGCTGTACAAATTGTTGACCCCCACCCCCTTTCCCCCTTATTGACTTGCTCTTACTCCCTTAGAATTGTCCGAATTGTTCTTTTCCTCTCTTTTTTTGAAACTGCTCCGTCCCAACTGTTGTACTCTCTCTCTCTCTCTCTCTCTCTCTCTCTTTCCCCCTCTTAAAACTTGCTCTGCCATAACTGTTGTACTCTCTTTGTTCTTCTTTCTTGAAATTGCCTTTTCTTGAAATTGCTTCTATCCAACTGCTGCACTCTCACTCCCACTCCCCTTCTCTCCTGAAACTGGCTCTGTTTTAACTGCTGTACTCTCTCCTGAAACTGGCTCTGTTTTAACTGCTGTACTCTCACTTCTCCTCCCCTTCTCTCCTGAAACTGGCTCTGTTTTAACTGCTGTACTCTCTCCTGAAACTGGCTCTGTTTTAGCTGCTGTACTTTCTCCTGAAACTGGCTCTGCTTTAACTGCTGTACTCTCTCCTGAAACTGGCTCTGTTTTAACTGCTGTACTCTCACTTCCCCTCCCCTTCTCTCCTGAAACTGGCTCTGTTTTAACTGCTGTACTCTCTCCTGAAACTGGCTCTGTTTTAGCTGCTGTACTTTCTCCTGAAACTGGCTCTGTTCTAACTGCTGTACTTTCTCCTGAAACTGGCTCTGTTCTAACTGCTGTACTCTCTCCTGAAACTGTCTCTGTTCTAGCTGCTGTACTCTCTCCTGAAACTGGCCGTGTTCTAACTGCTGTACTTTCTCCTGAAACTGGCTCTGTTCTAACTGCTGTACTCTCTCCTGAAACTGGCTCTGTTCTAGCTGCTGTACTCTCTCCTTAAACTGGCTGTTTTAACTGCTGTACTCTCTCCTGAAACTGGCTCTGTTTTAACTGCTGTACTCTCTCCTGAAACTGGCTCTGCTCTAACTGCTGTACTCTCTCCTGAAACTGGCTCTGTTCTAGCTGCTGTACTTTCTCCTGAAACTGGCTCTGTTCTAACTGCTGTACTCTCTCCTGAAACTGGCTCTGTTCTAGCTGCTGTACTCTCTCCTTAAACTGGCTCTGTTTTAACTGCTGTACTCTCTTCTTAAAAAAGGCTTTGTTCTAACTGCTGCTCGCCACCCCCACCCCATCTCTCCTGAAACTGGCTCCGTTCTAACTGCTGGTTTTTATCTCTCCTTGTGTTTCTTTCTAGAAACTGGCTCTGTTCAAACTGCTCTACTTCCCACCCCCTCCCCAAACCTCCTTTCTCTCTCCTGAAACTGGCTTTGTCTTAATTGATGTACTCTCTCTCTCCTCCTCCTCTAATTTTTTTCAGTTTAATGATAACACTGGATCTGTTTGTGTTTTCTGCAAGTCATACAGATGGGCCAATTAGAAATTCTCAAAAGACTTCCCAGGATCCATTCTTCTTTGCCACCTTATTGGCATTTTTCTTGAACATAACTTCTCCGACCAGGCGATGTCGCAACCAGATGGTGTCTCCATTCATTTACGTGCCGTCCTTTGGGACTGGTTTCTCCTATTCGCTGCTTCCTCTTGCTCATGTGGGCTCATTATTGTTTCTCATTTGTGTCAGCCACATACATCATCCTCATAATTGGTAGTGTCTGTGATGTAGTAACAGACCCCAACATGGCTGGAGAATGACTGGAAGATATGTCTTATATGTCTTTGTTTAACTCCTTCTGCCCTTGTAAATTGCTACATCTTATCTGTGTTTACTGTAGTAACTGTGTGGGAGATAATAAGTCTTTGTTTACCTCTTTCTTCTCTAGTAGGTTGCTACATCTTATCTGTGTTTACTGTAGTAACTGTGTGGGAGATAAGTCTTTGTTTACCTCTTTCTTCTCTAGTAGGTTGCTACATCTTATCTGTGTTTACTGTAGTAACTGTGTGGGAGATAATAAGTCTTTGTTTACCTCTTTCTTCCCTAGTAGGTTGCTACATCTTATCTGTGTTTACTGTAGTAACTGTGTGGGAGATAAGTCTTTGTTTACCTCTTTCTTCTCTAGTAGGTTGCTACATCTTATCTGTGTTTACTGTAGTAACTGTGTGGGAGATAAGTCTTTGTTTACCTCTTTCTTCCCTAGTAGGTTACTACATCTCATCAGTGTTTACTGTAGTAACTGTGTGGGAGATAAGTCTTTGTTTACTTCTTTCTTCTCTAGTAGGCTGCTACATCTTATCAGTGTTTACAGTAGTAACTGTGTGGGAGATAAGTATTTGTTTACCTCTTTCTTCCCTAGTAGGTTGCTACATCTTATCAGTGTTTACTGTAGTAACTGTGTGGGAGATAAGTATTTGTTTACCTCTTTCTTCCCTAGTAGGTTGCTACATCTTATCAGTGTTTACAGTAGTAACTGTGTGGGAGATAAGTATTTGTTTACCTCTTTCTTCCCTAGTAGGTTGCTACATCTTATCTGTCTGTAGTAACTAATGGATTCTCAACATGGCTGGAGAATGACTAGTAAATATGTCTTTGTTTACCACTTTCTGCCCTAGAAGGTTGCTACATCTCATTTGTGTTTACTGTAGAAACTGAGTGGGAGACGTGCTGTTTTTATCTTGACTGTGTTTACTGTTGTAACGGAATCCCAACATGGCTGGAGTAATGATTAGGAGATATGGCTTTAACTCTTTCTACTCCAGTTAACTGCTATAATTTCTTCTGTGTTTGCTCACAGGGTACTTGGCATGTTGCACTGTGGTTTACAGGTTGGCTGTAACATCTCCATCTTTCTACACACTACATCTGATTTTATCAAACCCTTAAACAGCTGCCTTTCAGATCATGCTTGTTATGGAAGGGACAGCGGGTCTATTCTTTCACTCTTCCCCCCAAAATGGGACCCTAGAACCAAAAGAGGACAGGCTGCTTTGTCTGCCTTCTTCTCCTCATGATTTGTCAGTCCAGCAGTCTTAACCAACTCACACAAAGTCGCTCTAGCCTTGGCATTAGGTGTCCCCCAAATCCTCTTTACCTCATTCACTTGTCATTCTAGTTCCCTTCTTTGTGCAGTTTTTGATCCATGAGTGTATGTGTTCTAGTGCAAGGACATTCCAGTTAAACTAATATGCAAGTTTTCTCAATGTGTGTGTCCTAACCAACGCCAGAGGAGATTAGTTAGGGATTGACATCACATCACTTAGGACATTACTGGTAACGCTCCATCGCCCAACTTCCACCAATGAAGAGCTCTAATGCTGCCAGTAGTTGTTTGATTTACATATCTGCCTTTCCGCTTAATGTCGGCTGGATACCCTAGTCCCTTCCTGCTAAACCATTATATCCAGGCCACAATTAACTACCCGTGATACTGATCACTTACTCCCAAAGGGTCTTGACCACATCTAGCGTGTTATACACCAATTCACCATCATAAATGCAGAACCAGCCAACCGATCTATCTGTTCATTTCCTCACAAACCTGCAGGTTCCAATAGAGTGTTGGCCATCTTATTCTTTTTTTAATTTGTTTTATGCCAACCTACAATCACATCTGTGGGCACAGACTACAATCAGGGTTAACAATGTAAGACCACCAAGTAAATTACTGGTTTTTGCACACCCCTATATACTGCATCAACTACTATTTTAGGACAGAATGATGACTTCAAAAACTGCCTTCAATGGGCCCCTAAAAGAAAGCGCTCAATGCAAGCTCTATAACAATATGGATAAATCAATTTACTTGGTGGTTTTAAACTTTCTGCAACTTCTGTACAAATGCCCACAGTCAACACCACAAAATATATTCTCACCTGTAGTTTTATACCCATGGGCAAATAAGCTGCCACTCTCTGTCATGCCATTTTTAACTGCACTTGTGGCAGCCGGAGCAGGTGGAGAAAACATCTGTAAAGAGACACAGGTAAATGGGTTTTTAAAAAAAAACATTTACATCTTTGAGTTTACATATCATTATTAGGATGTTTTTTTTCTCTGCCCTTATTTCCCCCTCATGATCACCAAAAGTGGTTCATTTTCTGCCCTTTTCCCCCTCATGATCACCAATATGGCTTATCTTTTGCCCTTATTTCTTCCCTCATGATCACCAATATGGTTTATCTTCTACCCTTATTCCCCTCATGATCACCAATATGGTTTATCTTCTGTCCTTTTTGCCCCCTCATGATCACCAATATGGTTTATCTTCTGCCCTTTTTGCCCCCTCATGATCACTAATATGGTTGATCTTCTGCCCCCCCCCCCCCCTTTATGATCACCAATGTGATTCATCATCTGCCCTTATTTCCCTTTCAAGCCCCCCCCCCCCCCCCAATCACGGGTTTTCCTCTGCTTTTATCTCCCCCCCCCCCATGATCACCAATGTGGTTCATCTTCTGCCCTTATTTCCTCTTGCACCCCCCCCCCCATGGATCACCATATTGGTTTTCCTCTGTATTTATCCCCCCCCCCACAATGATCACCAATATGGTTCATCTTCTGCCCTTATTCCCCTTCCCATATGATCACCAATATGGTTCATCTTCTGCCCTTAGTCCCCCATGATCACCAATATGGTTCATCTTCTGCCCTTAGTCCCCCATGATCACCAATATGGTTCATCTTCTGCCCTTAGTCCCCCATGATCACCAATGTGGTTCATCTTCTGCCCTTAGTCCCCCATGATCACCAATGTGGTTCATCTTCTGCCCTTAGTCCCCCATGATCACCAATGTGGTTCATCTTCTGCCCCCCCCCCCCCATGATCACCAATATGGTTCATCTTCTGCCCTTAGTCCCCCATGATCACCAATGTGGTTCATCTTCTGCCCTTAGTCCCCCATGATCACCAATGTGGTTCATCTTCTGCCCTTAGTTTCCCATGATCACCAATGTGGTTCATCTTCTGTCCTTAGTTTCCCATGATCACCAATGTGGTTCATCTTCTGCCCTTAGTTTCCCATGATCACCAATGTGGTTCATCTTCTGCCATTATTTCCCCTAGTGCCCCCCCCCCCCCCCCACAATACAGATGGTCTTCTTCTGATATTTATCCCTTAATGAAGCACAGACCCAACCAGCTTTTAGACTTGTCCACGGTTATAATTATGATACAATTTATGTGGCTGATGCTATTTTTATGGAATGAGATTAACATTAGGTGCACATCCTTAACTGAAAATTGCAAATCAACCCCAGCCTTTATTGGCTGGTTGTGGTTTTACTAAGCAATTTTACATTATGTAGTTTGCCACTGCTTTCTAAATAGTACGCACAGTTTGCCTCTGCTTTCTGAACGGTATGCACAGTTAATGCAATTGCTTTCTGAATGGTCTGCACAGTTAATGCAATTGCTTTTCTGAATGGTTTGCACAGTTAATGCAACTGCTTTCTGAATGGTACAAGTCTCTTATTACTGATAAAACAAGGGCTCAACAAGTAATATATTCTCCCAAAAAAAGGAGTAGGTAGCCAGCCTTCATGGTGCAGATGGCTCACATTATCTTACAGCCTAATGATGAGTTATACAACTCAGAATCTAACCCTACACTTAGTCGTCTTTTATGAATCGCTGTTAGGGTGCAGTGTTATTATTTTCTGCTTCCATTAAGGGCCCTGACAACATACAAGATTGCTTTTCCACACCTTCGAGTATAACGGTAGACCTTTATTATTAGACCAATCAACACTTGGTGGGTGATGTGGTCAACTTCATGCTGGCCGTCTTTACTTTCCAGGATTACACCTGGTACCCCTTTAAGGCCTGGGTCAACAGGGAAGGGGGGGGGGGGGGAGAGGGTAGACAGTGAAGCAAGTAGTAAAGAAGGTCCCTGTGTGGGTTCTGGGTCTCCACTGGGGGACAAAAGAATAGACCCATGGGTCCCTTAAAAGTAAGTTATAAGAGTTGACTGATTAGGGAGGTTTCCAGCAAAGAGGGAGCCAATCACACTGAGAACAGGCAATGATCTGTAAATCTAATGTGCATGCAAAACTCAGGTTCTAGAACAAACCAAAGTCCTCAAACAACCAGAACTTTCCAGCAGAGTTCACAGTCGAATGTGAAGAAGTAGTAGTAAAGAAGAGTGTTGTCAACAATTTAAATCTAAATACACTGCAAACTTCATCTTTCACTGGATGTTGTGTACGATCTCTTTCCACCCCTCTTACCCCCCCCCCCCCCCCCCATTCTTAATTCAGTTGGCTGTATACCGAAAGCAACTCAATAGCACATGGTACCCACAGCTATTCAATCCAGCCACACACTCAACATACTGTACCTCCAGAAACACAATCAATAAAATTCGTTGCCCCCAACCATACAATGAACAGTATGCCGTGCCCCAGCCACACAATAAACAGCATGCTGTACCCTGAACCACACAATCAACAGCATGTTGTACCCAGAACCACACAATCAACAGCATGCTGTACCCCGAACCACACAATCAACAGCATGCTGTACCCCCAGCCAAACAATGCACTAAAACACTACAGCACTGCAAAAAAAGTAATGTAGTGTCTTGTTTCATTTGATGTAAGGATTCCTCTTCATTTCACTAGATAATAATCCATTATTGATCCTGTCTCCCATTTTTTAAAGAAAATAGTAATTCATTCAATGCAGGATTACTAACACTGGCAAAAAACTGAACATGTACAGGCCAAAATACAGACACTATAAATAAAGTTCAAGCTGTGGGTCAAAACACAATTTTACCACGCAGTTACCAGATAGCCTACAAAAAATACAGTCATTAATCATATGATTGCCCATGCCAGTCGGTAAGGCACTTAATGAAAGTTATCAATCGCAGTTTCAACTTCCCTACTAAAATGTGGACTTTGAGATGTGTCGCTTATTCAAAAAGGATAACCACGCAATTCTTTGCTGAATCTGTTGGAGGCAGGAGCATGCAAGAGGAACAAGATATCACACAAAGTATCACGGCAGGGTGTCTGCTGGCACCTTCCCGTCTCTGCAGACGACGATGTCCCATTGTGCAATAGGGAGGCAGGGAACAACAGCCCATGGTGATACCAATGAAATACAGGGATGATGTTCCTCCTCTCCACAGCATAAAGACTGGGCAGCACTGCAGAGACCATGTGATGTCCATGCAGCATGACCCGTCTCATTGCCTGCTTGGTCAACTCCAAAGGAATGGTCACACCGGTATGTCTAGAATAAAGCATGCTGCAGAAGCTGCCAGATCAGTGGACCAGACTAACATTACTCATGACATTAGAAAGGCAGGGCAACTAAAGGAATCAAGTGATGATTGCAAGAGTTCTGACGGGAAAAAAAAGTAAATAAATGAAATATTTTGGTCATTATAAAAACATAACACTCTTATTTAAGTCATACTAGAGGGAAACAGTGAAGGCAAGCAAGCAACAGACAAACAGTGAAACAAGTGGGAAGATAATATGTAGAGGTGAAAGAACTGCAGTCTAATATAGCATACATCCAGGACAAAAAACAATCTGGAGATCTACTGCTGCCAAACATCACTGTGGAGATGGCACCCTGACTGATTCATTGATGACTGTGAATCTACATCTTTTACAAGAATGGCAAGTCAAAGGAGGTGCAAGAGACAAGAGCACAATGGTGGGGGACAACAAAGATTAGTAAATCCACATGGAATTCGGTGTCATAATTTTCCACATGCTGAGGAAAAAATAGATCTGAGCACTCAGGGACTGAAAAGTTTTATGAGTCATGAGGAAGATCCGCCAGCTAACTAAATACCAGAGATCTGACTTCATCTCAGCTGTGTCGAGTGAGAATGAGCCACAGACATTGCTGCTGTTAGTGAGAACCAGATGGTCTTCTCAAAGCTGCCAGCGAGTGGTCATAAATTCTAATCCCCATTTGGTGCAAATGTTTTCGGTAGGGCAGCCAGAAGGACTCCTTCTGGGACACCTCTTGGCTCTTACCTGGCATAGTGGCTACACTAAGCAGGTAGTTTCTGCCCACCAGCTCTTACAACCAGGCATGAACTCATATGTCAAAGCAAATATATAATATGAAAGAAGTGTTGAGAAAAACTGACCGTCTGCTTTTGGGCCCCAGCTGCATGATAGTGTTGGTACTGGTTCATCAACTGTTCATGATATAAAACACAAGAGATTAACAGGCTGCGGCCGGCAGATGACTTCTAGCTCTAACTATGTACAGGGAAAACAATGGAGATCGTGACTGAATATAACAAGGCAGGCCGAGACAGAGATACAGATCATGGGCAACATATAGTCTCTACAATACTGCCCAGGCTTTGGGCTATAAACAGGACTTTCATCCCTGCCTCAACTGGTCTAAGACATTCTCTTCATTACAGCACAACATAATACTACCATCTGGAAAGACAGAAAGATGCCAGCAACGGTAACTGAATTCTGGAGGTGAAAGTGTAATGTCATTTGAAGGTTTAACCAAAAAAAAAAAAAAACGGTTAGCAGCTGGAGCATGGTGGATTTATCACTGATAGGATCTTATTATCTAAGGACATCAGCAAATATTGCAACTAGAGGAATAAGGATTTCTAAGCGGGTATTGTATCAGGTAGGCACTTGAATGGGAAACAAAAAGACTGAGGAGGCATGGACATCCAAAAAGAAACTAAAAACAAACACTGATGAAAGAGACCAAAGATATTGGACTGGATTCAACTCATGATACTGAAACATTTGCACAGGACCGAACAGAACGGAGGGACAGACCGAGAGTCCTATATGACATATAATGGCACAACAGAATAATGACGATAAAAGTTTAAGGTTAAAAATGGGCAAATGTGGCATGAGTGGATATCAAGTATCAGCACATCAACACTTTATAAGGATTCATGTATCATGTATCAGCACATCAACACTTTATAAGGATTCATGTGGAAATAGTATCCAGG